CGTTGGACCTTGGAGGGCCAGGACCCCCCCCCCCGGGAGAAGTCATGGGAGAGGAGAACTCATGATGGAGGGGAGGGGACGGGAGAGGAGAGGAGGGGAGGGCAGGACTTCTTTCCTACTTAAGCCATCCACCTGCACACAGAGAGGAAGAGAGGGGGCTCGGAGGAGCAGGCGGAGGTCGCCATGGGTTTCGTGGTGCGCCCCTGTGCCGTGAAGGACCTCAAGGACATTATGCGGCTGGTTGAGGTGAGGGATGGGACCGGAGGGAGGCCATCCCCCCCCAAAGTGGACTGAGGAGGGAGGGGAAAGGGACCCCCTCAAAGGGGGTCAGTGGAGGAGGAGTGACCTTTCGAAGTGGCCGGGATGGGGAGGAAAGAGGGGCTCAGTCCTCCGGGCCCGATCCGTAGTTCCGCAGGGGCTCCACTGGAAGGAACAGGAGCCGTGCCAGAGCGGTTCCCCCCCCCCCAGGACCAGAGAAAGTACTTTCTGGGACAGTGCCCATTCCGGAGCCCATGGGAGGTGGCCATGCTGCCCTCCCGAAAGCAGGCCTGTTGATGTCCTAAAGCCTTCGGATTCTTTGGGGTGGGTGGGGAGTGGTAAGGGGTGCTCCCTGCTGGATCTGGAAGCCCCCCCCCCATCCTATTTTGACAACTCTTTCTTCCCCTTTGCAGGAAATTGCGGTCATTTATAACGTCCCCGTGAATAAGGTTGCAACCAGCGTAGAAGGTAAGGAAGGGGGCCGAGCTGGGTTTGGGGCTGAACGTGTCCTGGAGCCAGCCAGCCAGCCATCCGCGTCCTCCTCTCTGTGTCAGGCAGAGGAGCCGGAGCCGATAAAAGCATTGGCAACCTCAGCCCCCTCACACATTCCTCTCTGGCAGGCTGGGCTGCAGTCCAGACTAGGAACATCATGTGTTTGTGTATGTGTCGCTTTTCAAACTGCGAGGCTCACCCTCTTTCCGTCCCCTCTTCTCTGCTTCCCCCACCCACCTACCTCCCCAGTTCTAAAGAAACACGGATTTGGTGAAAAGCCGAGATTTGAGTGTTTTGTTGCCGAAGTTCCTCCGGAGCAGAAAAGCAAAGAAGGTAAGCAGGCGGATGGAGGGAGAGGAGGTAAGACAGTGGCCCTCCTTCTTCTCTTTAAAAGGACCGGGTTAGCAAAAGGGCCAATGAGCAAGGATGCCCCCCAAGCGATCGTGGTTTTGAAAATGGTGTAGGGTTTATGTTCCAGCCCAGATCCCTGTCCTCAAACTTAATGGTGCCCAGATTTTGCCAACTTCAGACAGTTGCTGGGTAAAAAATTAGGGAAGAAGTAAAACAATGAGGCTGTCGACCTGGGGGATTCTGGGAGTTGTAGTCCAAAGCCCTGAGAGTTGTAACCCGAAGTAACATTTCCAAAGTCATATTTTTCTAACCTGAGCTAAGCTTCTTTGCTGAGGAGGACTGGCTCACGGGCCGTGTGTGTGTGTGTTGGCACCTTGTCTTTCTCCCCCACCTCTCGCCTCATGATGTTGTTGTTGTTTTTTGGCTCCTCAGGTCACACCCTGATCGGTTACGTGCTTTCCGCCTACACGTATAACACCTGGCGAGGGAAGAACCTCTACATGGACAACCTGTACGTCATGCCGGAATTTAGAGGTACCTCCGGAGAAGAACTATATGCTGCGCCGAAGATCTATCCAACCGCGCGGATGCTGGATGAATCCGCTCGGCTGGCCTGCCGGGGATTTTTAGGGCCCAAACAGAGGAGACAGGCGGGCCAGCTGCCTTTTTAATTAGGAGGCATTAGGAGATGATTAAGAAAACAAGAGAACCTTCTTGCTAGCCAGATCTCCTTCACAGCTGTCATGTTTACTCCATTAACATGCACCCAGTAACCTCCAGATGACCGATCCTCCTTGCTCAGAAGGCCCCTAATCTGCAATTTGTGAGATTTTGAAAGACGTTAGAGAACACCACCACACTCCCTCTCACTGATTGTCCGCTCCGCTTTTACGTGCAAAACTCCCAGGTCTTCCTGGCTAGGTCATAGGGTGATGGCAATCGTTCCTGATCGGAGCAGGTCTCCTCAGTGGCCACATCCAGAGCGGCCACAGAGTGTGGGATTGCCTTTCTTGAACGGCATTTCCCAGAATCCCCTTAGCCAGCGGTGGGAGTTGTACTTAAAAAGCGAATCTTTTTCCTCTGTGTTCTCCCCTCTGGCTTTTAGAAGGCACCGTTTTATCTTATTGTGCAGGCGGACGTCTCATGAGTTTCAAAATTAGCATCCCGGCATTATAACGTGATAGCGCTTGATTCCAAAATCCCATTAATATAACAGCCTAGCGATATGGTGCTGTAGCGCTCCAACTGGGCCTCCTTTTGGGGAAATGGGCAGGATAGAAAGAAAAAGAAAGAAAGAAAAGAATTGAAGTAAAGGATATAGTGTCCCCTATCAGAAATCCTTGTGGGGACAGTGCCCTCAGTGGGCTGTCCTCGCACCTTATGGCTGCCTCGCTTATAAATTTCTGGCTCGAATCTCCAGCCCAGAAGTTTCATGGAGGTGAGGCTGAATTCTGGTGTGGGTGAAGGGAATTAAACGTCTTTCTCTCGGCAGAAGACTGCCCTCCCCGGGGAAGTGGAAAGAGAATGTGGGAATCCAAGTGCCCCTTTTTGCCCAGTCGGGAGTCCAATTTTATGCCATATTATCAGCTGCTTCTGGTTGTTCTCTCTTGCAGGAAGACGTATTGGGAAGACGCTCGCAAGCACGGCAGCGATGGTGAGTCCTACCCAGAGCCTGGAAAAGTTACGTCTTAGGGCTCAGACGCCCAGAATCCTCCTGGCCTCAGAGTCCCACCCCGTGGCTGGCTGAAGGATTCTGGCAGCCAGAGTCATAAGCCCAGAAAACTTTTGCCAAGCTCTCCTGCTGATCATCTCACACGGGAGGCCAAATTTGCCTTTTGTCTGGGGTCTGGGCTGGAGAGCCCATTCCCTTGTGACCTGCAGAGGACTGAATTCCTGCCCATGTTTTTTTCTTTCCTCACCAGGCCGCCTGGCAGAAAGGTTGCACGCAACTCCGAATGCATGTGAGTGCCGATAAGCCAGAAAACATAGAATTCCTTAAGCGCCAGGGAGGCGAAAACCTCACAGAAACAGAAGACTGGAACATCTTACGGTTTTACAACCCGGTCCTCCGGGGCATGGCGGCTCAGAGCAAATTCTAGCCTCGGATGGGGGCGGCAGGGCGGGGGACACCATCCTGGACCATGGACGGGATGCCTGCATAATGAGGGTCAATGACACCCCTTTTAGAAATGGTAATGGAAAGCTAACATAAAGTTTCCCTGTTGTGACACAATGTTTAGCCCACATTATTCTGTTCTTAACTGAGAAATAAGACCCTCTCCGTTCCTCCAGTACAGCAGTTTCAGTCTGCAGGTGTTCACAAATTCTAGCCTCGGATGGGGGCGGCAGGGCGGGGGACACCATCCTGGACCATGGACGGGATGCCTGCATAATGAGGGTCAATGACACCCCTTTTAGAAATGGTAATGGAAAGCTAACATAAAGTTTCCCTGTTGTGACACAATGTTTAGTCCACATTATTCTGTTTTTAACTGAGAAATAATACCCTTTCCGTTCCTCCAGTACAGCAGTTTCAGACTGCAGGGGTTCACCATCACCACGGAGGGTCCAAAACATTCTGGCTACTGGGTCCGTCCACATCAACAAAGGAAAAGCATGTTTTTTGTAAAGCTAATGGGTCTTGGTTGCCCATCCGCGAGCAAACCATCCTCAAATACTTTGCTCCCCCTTAGGAAATCTTTCAGAAATCTTTATGAAAATGCATAAGACATCCATTTCCTTGCTGCAGCTTCCGTTCTGGACTCTTGCCAATGGAAAGCTTTTCAGTGATGACTGGAAGTCCTCGCTGGACATCCCACTCCCAACGGGAAGCGTTGCAACGGGAAACTCTGCCTCCCTCTGAACAAACCAAGACTAAAAACAAACCATGCTCTCAAGAGGGAGGAAAAAGCAGGGAAGCTGCACAGACTGAGCCAAGAGGAATATCGTAGGGATGATGAGGAAAACCATTGGCAACATCAGTGCAGGATCCGGTACATTAAAGGGAGCAAATGTGCAAGTTCTGTTGGCCATCTGGGGTGCCGCAGCATCAACTGCTGGAATCCTATTCCTTATCCTAGTAAGTCACATTACAGTGTCCCTGTTGAATCCCATATGGCGTTGGGCAGTCAACTTCTCTGTAACCTTCCACTGATTCAAATGGGCCTACTCTAGTTGTAATGTGCGTTGAGTGTGGTAAGTTGCAACTAGAGTAGGCCATCTGAATCAACACAACATACAGAGGGGTTGACTGCAACAAATCCTGGTTGACTCAATGGGCCTACTGTAGTGGGACTTACTAGGATAAGCAACAGGATTTTACTGCCGGGTGTGTGTAAAAGCAAAAAATAATTATTTCCTGGGCATGTGGAGAGGGCCTTTATCGATGAGTGATCAGAACTAGGTGCGCAGAAAAAGAAGAGCTTAAGTTTCAGTCTTTCTCTTTTCAGGTTAAATAACTTTGGCCGACACACGAAAGGCAGTTCCATTTCATGGTGGCTCCGTCGTGATGCGGTCGGGTGCCTTTGCCCTGTGAGGGGGGGGGGAAAGGTCTTTCCTAGATGTTTCCACGGCAATTTGTGTTATAATGATGACTGTGCAGTGCTCTCCCCTTCCAAACCTAATCTTTAACTCAACTCCCACTCCAACTTTGGCTGTGACCCTCGGTGCTGACCTTCCTCGTCATTCTTGACCCTGAGTGGCCCGAGTTTTGCTGGGCTGGCATTCCAGCAGATCACTCAGGCTGACCGTGAGGCCCGCAGACCCACCCACCCCCGTGGGCCAGATCTCTGGGGTGGAAGGAACTGGACTTTCCAGACAGCACTAAGGGACGCAGCAGCAGCAGGAGGAGAAGGAAATGTCTCTGGCCCTCCTCCTGCTCTGTTACTTCCCCGGTTCCTTGGTGGTTTCCCCTTCTCCTCAGCCAGCAGGGTTTCAAGATGAGGGCAGACAACGGGTCTGTCACGGTGCCCAGATGGGACCAGCAAAGGCTGGCTCAGGGATTCTGGGAGTTGTAGTCTAAGCAGGGCTGTTTCTCAAGCGTTGCCTCCACCCCACTTCTGTCTCCGAGCCAAAAACCTGAGTGATGATTAATTGGAAGGGTTAATTGGTGACAGCTGCTGGTGGGACCACGAGGCAGGAGGTCACCCTGGTCAAAGAGCGACTTCTGGGCTGCTTGAGCAGTCGTTTCCATCCCGTGGAAAAATGGGCTTCAAGGTTTAGGGTTAAAGAAGTCAGTGGGAGAAAGGGGTTGGTTTGGGCCCCTTTAGTGCTGCTGAGACGTCGGCCCCTTACTTGGGGGGGGAAAGGGGGGAAGGATCCAGCTTTCCAACCCCACACTCAGAATCCCGTGTGGAGGAGAACTGAGATGTTGCAGGGATCTGTGCAAAATTCACACATAAGCACTCTCTTTGCTTGCCAGTGGTTCTGTGAAGCAAGCAAGGG